CACATAAGCTTGTTTTCTCATTTTTTGGCAGAATGGACAAGTGAAAGTCTCATATGAGATTTTCACACACTGAATTTCCGATTTGAATTCTTTATAAAATTTATCTACATACCACCAACTTATTTGATATGTACTTATATCAGTATGCTTGTTAGAGTAGTGAGCCTTTACAGTTTGTCTTAGGCTTAATATTTTGGTACTTGAAAGACGAAACTTTGAGTTAGAATGACAGTTGTCATGTTACTTTACAGATATCTTCATTAGTCCATTAAATATCCTTGTGAATTGGGAAGTTTCTCAATATTCAGCAACTCGAAAAAAAACTTGAATTGAAATTTTGCTAGTGTTATTAAAGACAGTGGGTGATGTTAAATCACTAAGAGGTTTGAACCCATGTATAAAGCAGAGGAGGAAGTAGATGATCAGAATTATCACTGTGCAATTATAAACAATTAAAAAACATACTTACTTGTCAGGTATTAGAGAAAGACAGAATGATGAATTAGATATGCAAAATCAGAAGGATAAAATCCGAGCCCACAGAACGTGTCTCCTTAAGACAATTTGCCCCCTCACTGATGCCTAAGGTAGATGGACACTTGTCTCCCAGGATAGAACAGATTTCGTCTGAAGAGTGGCGGCACTACCAGTCAACAGCTCAAACAAACACAACAAAATGCCAGAGGAAACTACACCGGAGTATGAAAAGGAACATGCAAAACCGGAAGGAGAAAAATTCTGGCAGAGTTTCAGTGCAGAAAAATTGGATCCATTTTCTGAAGGTGTCAGTGTCTATTTATAGACAACGTAAAGTCACGTTCCAAAAGGCACCTATTCGACGACGAAACAACACATCCGTTGGACACGAAAAGACACATTCGTTCGACACGAAAAGACACATTCGTTCAACACGAAAAGACATCCATTCAAGGATGAAACAACATGTCCGTTAGGATGAAACAACACATCGTTTAGGATGAAAAGATACATCTGTTTGTCGACAAAAAGGCACACATTTTCACTACCAAACTTCTTATTCATAACCAATAGATTGTCTATACAATTTATATATATATATATATATATATATATATATATATATATATATATATATATATATATATATAAATTCCAACAATCCCCCACATGGATAAGAAGTCAAATCATCGTGACAAAAAATGCACAAGAATATAAATGCAAAGTGTAATTTCCTCAACGAGAAACAACTGCATCGAGATAGATGGAGTTACCTTTGAACCTTCTCTAGTGGAAACCTATCGGATATACTCGGTCAATCGGTGGTCTAGGTCAACTTGAACCGTCAACCTTTAGTGTATACCTAGACAATAGGAGTCACACAATTGCTTCTCTAGCATTGTTGGTCCTTTGTTGCGCCCATTTTGGCCGTGGGACACCTGCCTGGTTCTGCGAGTGTTTTAGAGAATCGGCCTTTGAAAAATTCTCATAGAAGCGGCCCTCACTTCACACTCACATAGGTGATTTCTTGTGATGTAACTCACTTATACATCATCTGAACACAACAGATTAAGAAATCATTAAAAGCCTAAGTGCCTACCCTCATAAATACAATGTCTTGTCTTAGGAATGAGTATGAGTTTAAAAACTCCACAGTGTTTAAACAGTCGACCATCACTTAGTTGTCTCTTTGAACCTAGTTCATGGAATCTCCACTCTTCTAGGTAGAGTTACCGCAATGCTCAACAATTGATAGGCCTTAAACCCATTCCTTTCGACAAATTTTCAACCAACTCTCTAGGAATCCCTTTGGTTAACGGATCCGCTATGTTTTCCTTAGACTTAACATAGTCAATTGAAATGATTCCATTCGAGAATAGTTGTATTACGGTATCATGTCTTTGACGTATGTGTCTAGACTTACCGTTATACATGACGTTCTTGGCCCTTCCAATAGCTGCTTGGCTATCACAATGTATGCATACGGATGGTACCGGTCTTGGCCAATTAGGAACATCCTCAATAAAATTACGAAGCCATTCGGCTTCTTCACCGGCCTTATCTAAAGCAATAAATTCTGCTTCCATGGTTGACCTTGCAATGCAGGTTTGCTTGGACGATTTCCAAGACACAGCACCTCCACCAAGGGTAAACACATATCCACTTGTGGATCTAGTGTCGTTAGAGCCGGTGATCCAATTTGCATCACAATACCCTTCTATAACCGTGGGGTATTTCTCGTAATGCAAAGCATAATTCTGAGTATACTTCAAGTATCCAAAAACTCTTACCATAGCTTTCCAATGATTCTCATTTGGATTACTGGTAAAGCGACTTAACAGACTTACTGCATAAGCAATATCAGGTCTGGTGCAGTTCATAACATACATAAGGCTTCCCAACACTTGAGCATATAGCTTTTGTGCTGTAGCTTTACCAGTGTTCTTTAATAAACTCAGATTAGAATCTACAGGGTTCCTCACAGGAATTATTTTCAAACTCTTGAATTTCTCAAGAACCTTAGCTACATAGTGAGCCTGTGATAAGGCCAACCCTGTTAATGTTCTATGGATTTTAATACCTAGGATAACGTCTGCTATCCCCATATCTTTCATATCAAACTTACTTTTAAGTAATTGTTTAGTAGCATTAATCATTTGATTATTACTACCCATGATTAACATGTCGTCTACATAAAGACAGACAATGGCAAAACCTTTTTCAGTATTTCGAACATAGACACATTTGTCACATTCATTAATTCGAAATCCATTTGTCAACATAACTTTGTCAAATTTCTCATGCCATTGCTTTGGAGCTTGCTTTAACCCGTAAAGGAATTTTATTAAGCGACAAACTTTCTGTTCTTTTCCTGGAACAACAAAACCTTCAGGTGGTTCTAAGTATATCTCTTCTTCAATGTCGCCATTTAAGAAAGCGGTTTTGACATCCATTTGATGTATTTCTAATCCATTCAATGCAGTTACCGCGATCAACATCCTAATGGATGTGATCCTTGTAACAGGTGAATAAGTATCGAAATAATCGAGGCCTTCACGTTGCCTGTAGCCTTTTACCACAAGCCTTGCTTTATATTTATCAATAGTGTCATTCTCTTTCATTTTTCTTTTGAATACCCACTTACTTCCTAAAGGCTTATTGCCAGGAGGAAGGTTTACCAATTCCCAAGTGTGGTTGGACAAGATAGACTCTATCTCACTATTGATAGCCTCTTCCCAGAATGGTCCTTCCGGGGACGTTATAGCTTCCTTATACGTCCGAGGCTCATTTTCTAATAAATATGTCATAAAATCAGGTCCAAAGGATGTGGCGGTCATTTGCCTCTTGCTACGTCTAGGTTCATGTTCTACATCCTCTACAGGATCAGTATCAGTTGTAGCATCCCAAGGTATCACAAACTGATCATCATTATAACCACTTGATTCATGTATTTTCTTATACGGAAATACGTCTTCAAAGAAAGTAACTTCCCTTGACTCAATAACCGTATTAACATGTATATCTGAGACATCAGATTTACAAACTAGAAACCGATAAGCACTACTATTAAGTGCATAACCGATGAATACACAATTCACAGTTTTAGGTCCGATTTTCAACCTTTTGGGTTTAGGAACCGCAACCTTAGCCAAGCACCCCCACACTCTAAAGTATTTCAGGGATGGCTTCTTTCCTTTTCATATGTCGTATGGTATGCTCTTTGTCAAACACCTCCACACTTCAAGATAATTCAAGGTAGGCTCCCTACCTTTCCATATTTCATAGGGGGTGTTCTTAATTTTCTTGTGGGGACTTTATTGATTGTACACTTTATCATTAAAATGATTTTCCCCCACAAACCAGACGTCAACAACATCATTTCATTTAATGTCTGGTTCTTTCTTTCAGCAATCCTATTGGATTCTGAAGCATAAGGAGCCATCTTTTAGTATGTAATACCAAACTTTAAACAAAATTTCTCGAAGGGGCGTCATACTCTCCCCACTAGATTGCTCCTTATGCCTTTAATTTTCTTAGTGAACATTACCATAAAATAATATACAATTATCATGTCATTGACAACATTTAAAGCCATCACATTGACTTTGATCATGCCATCACTAAGATAGCTCTTTCCACGTTCATATAATACAGAATATTTCATTGGAGATAAAACTTTTATATCCATCTTTAACACAGTCACTACAAAAAATGCGTTGTTTAAAAAAAATAATAATGCCACTATCCAATTTTTATTTTTATATTTTGCTCTCAATTAACCTTTTATCAAAAAAAAAATCTACTTAAATTCCTTAATGAGATCTATATGTGAGAATGCTGATAGAGATATCAAATTTTTGAAGAAACTTCATTTAGAAGTAAAATGCTAAGTATTGGTTCTTCTCACTTTCAATTTCAATTAATTTTACCAGTAAGGATTAAAACAACTATAAGAACCAAGCATACTTTGTCACTCTACTAAGGAGCTATCTCTTTAACAGAACTCAAGCAGCTAGAATTAGAAAAATAGAAGAAAATGAAATGCAATGCAAAATGAAAAATATAGAAGGCCAGAAAAGAAAAGTCACTTCATTAATGGGATAAAATCCATTGAGATTCTTCCAAAAAAGTCACTAACAGTTAGGATACTATTTTTTATATTAATCGTCCATAACTAATTCTCCCAAAGAAAAAAAAACATTCTCACTCTATAGTCTTTGTCAAATCCATCAATTTCAACTGAGTCTCCGCAGTCATGTCAAGCAGACAAATAAATTTTTTGTTCAGATTTATATATAACTGCATTTAAGCAAGGAACTATAATCTATAAGAAAGTATTTAGACAGTTTACATATCAATCACAAGGTTATAACAAAATTTTAATTAAAAGAAATGTTATACCACATTTTTTAGGGCAGAGCAATGCTCCTCTTCCAAATTGCTGCAGAACACAGAAACTTTAATTTTAAAATCACAGAAAAGACATAAAAAATTAGATCGACCATCATTATCCACATCTGTGTAAAGGATTGTTGAATAATTATCTGTGTTTTAAAAGGGATCATTCTGAGCAAGCAATATCTATCACAACTTCACAAGTACAAAGACTCCATAATACATGGCAAAGCCCAAATACTGCTTCTGGAAATTGTTGCCCAGTCCAAGAATCTGGGAATCCATTTTTTCAAGAAAACCAAATGAGCAAGAGATAAACAGTACTTCTAATCAATGATTATTGGTCATGTGACATTACAGTTTAGAGGATTAGAATATTTTTTTTATATGTATATATTTTGTGACCTGAATTGTTCTGTCCTTTTAAGAACTTCATAATTGTCCCTTCTTTCTTTTTCACGAATCTCATGTAGTTCGTTTGTATTCTCTGGAATTCGAAGTTGTCTTTTTTTGAAGGCTGCCACAAACACCTAATAGTTCAACAAAATAGATATATGAGTCTGATATGCATCATATGATTTCCTTCTAAAATACAAGGACATTTTGAAATATATGAGTGAGTGTAAAAAAATGACAATGATGTTATTTTTACCTGTAAAAAAATACGATTTACGATTTTTTTACACACACGCCAACCAAGGAGAAAGTACCCAAGCTTGAGCATTATCTTTGGACACAGGAGAAAAACTGAATGTTTAATAAGTAATTCCACTTAATTTTGAATGAAGGCATGGAATAGCACAATTTTTTCATTTGAAATGTTAGTATTTTAAAATAAAACTCAGTTCAAAATAGTTAGAATTTTTAAATTAGTTCAAAATGTTAGTATTTTAAAATAAAACTCAGTTCAAAATCGATCTTCAAGTCAAATACCTGAACAATCTCCTTTTTTTGTGAACCTCTCCCTTAGGAAGTGAAACATACTCCTCTGCTTCAAGGTCAAACTCTGTAGCAAAAGAAGTGCAACCTATTAAATCAAAATGGCAAAACTGGCAAGCAAAACCAAATAGTTTCCACGCTTATACGAACTCTTTCCCTTTGAATTGTAAAGGGAATTGTATCAAGTTATAATCAGTACTCATCCAAGTAAGTGTATAGCGTGTCATACTTCTTAGACTTGCGCCTGCTAAGTAAGGCCTTCAAGAGACGTTTACTTTTACTGGGGTGTTGTTCTATATCTTTGTTGTTGCCCCTTTCAGTGACTCCGAAGGATACTGGTAGGAAACATAATGCAAAGCAATGTATTGAGAATACAGTCATGATTCATGTCATCTACTTATTGCAATAAAGCCAACCTAGTGCTATAAAGCTACTGCTTAGTAAAGAGTCAAATCCATTATGTGGGTCAATAGAAAACAACATTATCTTGCATTTGCAAGATAATGATTACATAAATCCAACATGTGACCTCCGACACTAACCATTGTGTCAAGGAATTGCCTTCCACTTACCCTTAATCTTGCATTAGAAGGACTTGGTGTTGTTAGTCTGCTGCTTGAGTTTGGAGTTGTTGATCTAGTGGTCTTTGGGGTATTAGGCCTACTTGACATACATGAACTTCTGTGCTTCCCTTTCTTGTAAACATCGTACACATAAATGTGCTTCAAAAAGTCACAGATAGTGATACATAAAAAATATTATGCAAAAAATCGTAACATTCTAAATCAAAAAGTTAAATAATAATAAAGAAAAGAAATACCACACAACAATTGGACAGCTTCATTGCATTTTTTGGCTCACAGTTTTATTTCCAATTTTTTTTTTAAGACACGAAATCAAAAATATCAAACTAAATTCCTAACAAAATGCTTGAGTCTGTTGTTTCCCCCATTTTTTCACGAAGATGAAACATTAAACAGAGGAAATAGAAAATTTTCAAGTTAGAAGGTTTGAATATGAAATGAGAAAGGAGAAAGTAGGAGAAGAGGAAGTGAAGCACCTGGCCGTGGGAGAGAACAGAGGCAATAGAAAGAGAAATGCTAGGCTTCTCTGCAACCTGAAATGAGATGAAAGACTCCAAAGGTAGTAAGTAACAAAGCTCACAAAAACAAAGGTAGTAAGAGATTCAAGAGCTGATTTGTCATTTGTCACCATTAGAACTTTTGGAGGGGCCATATTTCTTTTCTGCTTCTGCTATGTACTTGTTTCCTTTTTTGCTAACGGGTGCTACCTGATTGTGAATCAATCATAAGCTATGTTCCCAAAAAATTGAGAGACGGGGAGAAAGATAGAGGAAGAGGAAGTTACCTCGTGACGCAAGAGAAATCGAAATAAAAATGATCACATATACACTTGCAGGTTTGATTTGACTTAAATCGAACCATAAGATACCTAGGTTTTCCTAGGGTTTATCGATCCTCCATCGATCGGAGAAGTTAAGATGACGTTGAAGAAATGCTAAGCTAGAATAAAAAGAGGGGAAAAACTTTGAAGCTGTGATTGATAGGAATAGAGATTTGAAGAAAGATGAAATAAATTAAGAAATGAAGAAACAAAACTCCTCAATTAAGTTAAGAATGAAGAAATGAAAGAGGTGAGTTTTGTGTTTTTGGGTTAACTCACGTCAGAAAGCATTTTTTTTTCTTTTCTTTGCTAATTTGGGACGTTAAAAAACAATGAGTAAAGTTAAGGATATTATTATAATTTTATGATGATTTTATTAAACGTCGCAAAACACATGTAGCTATACACCGCTTTTCTTGTAGTGAGTGGAATTAAGAAAGAATTATCACTGGCTATCATAAAATCAAAATCGTTAAGTTTACTATTTCCAAGGTTTGAAATTTAATTTCCAAATCATAAATTCAATGCCATAAAGGTTTGTTTCCAAATCAAAATCGTTAAGAATTATCACTGACACCAAATCAAGGTTTGAAATTTAATTTCCAATCACAAATTCATTGCCATAAATGCATTTACTATTTCGAAGTTGAGTTTGTCAAATCCGTAAATGTTACAGATGCCATGTATAAAAGAATAGACATATAAACATATATATAAATTGCCAGCCATGCATGGAATTGATAACCGAGACTCATTCAATGGTTATTATTAACCGTAAACCTTCATAATATAATAATATATGCATAGAATTCTTCGGTTGCAATAAATCGCTGTGCACAAGCATTTAATAAAGTCACATGGCTTTCATATATATAGATAGATATGAAAACTGTTTCATTGTTTACAGTACGAAAGAAAAAGAAAAAACAAAGATGCCTTACAAGGCATACGATAAAGTAGCATAACACTTCCATGCAGAGTAATTTCCATGCACACTAATCAAGGTTCGTAAATTTAATAAATAGAAATTGCACCGTATGAATTTCCGCAAAGCAAAATGTTAAACACAGATTAAATTCCACTTATGTTACTCAAACAGAAATTTCGATTAATCACACAAATTAATCTTTTAATTACTCGGTAAATAATATTAACAGAATGTTAAAGCAGAAATATGAAATATACTGATCACAGGTTCAAAACACCAAATTGTCTTAAGATTGTTATTGAAGACAGTGGGTGATGTTAAATCACTAAGAGGTTTGAACCCATGTATAAAGCAGAGGAGGAGGTAGATGATTAGAATTATCACTGTGCAATTATAAACAATTAAAAAATAGACTTACTTGTCAGGTATTAGAGAAAGACAGAATGATGAATTAGATATGCAAAATCAGAAGGATAAAATCCGAGCCCACGGAACGTGTCTCCTTAAGACAATTTTCCCCCTCACTGATGCCTAAGGTAGATGGACACTTGTCTCCCAGGATATAACGGATTTCGTCTGAAGAGTGGCGGCACTACCAGTCAACAGCCCAAACGAACACAACAAAATGCCAGAGGAAACTACACCGGAGTATGAAAAGGAACATGCAAAACCGGAAGGAGAAAAATTCCGGCAGAGTTTCAGTGCAGAAAAATTGGATCCATTTTCTGAAGGTGTCAGTGTCTATTTATAGACAACATAAAGTCACGTTCCAAAAGGCACCTATTCGACGACGAAACAACACATCCGTTGGACACGAAAAGACACATTCGTTCGACACGAAAAGACACCCATTCAAGGATGAAACAACATGTCCGTTAGGATGAAACAACATGTCCGTTAGGATGAAACAACACATCGTTTAGGATGAAAAGATACATCTGTTTGTCGACGAAAAGGCACACATTTTCACTACCAAACTTCTTATTCATAACCAATAGATTGTCTATACAATTTATATATGTATATATATATATATATATATATATATATATATATATATATATATAAATTTCAACAGTTAGTCACTTCATTAACACAAGAGGATTGATCACCTTTACCTATGGGTTTTGATGTGTTATCCATACTCATAAGATCTTTTTCCAAATATTTTACTAAAGCAAGATGATTGGCCCTTTCTCTACACTTCACTTTTCTGAACTACTCCGACCCACCATTAAAGCATGTTCAAGGAGTTCCCTGCACACATAAGCTTGTTTTCTCTTAGGGCAGTATGGACACACGAATGCTCCATCTGAGGTTTTCACATTGTGACTTCCCTTTTTGAGTTCTTCATAAGATGTATCTACATACCACAGATGCACCTATTACATAAGTATCCTTGTTAGAGTAGTGAGCAATTACAGATTTGGTACTTGAAAGACAACAATTAGAGTAGAGCTATCAAAACGGGTCAGTCCGGCCCATTAGGCCTTAACCTGCGTGGGTCAGGATCCAAAAGCCCGCATATTACACAGCCTGCATGGGCCAAAAAATTATATAACCCCACGGGTTAGGGCTAACCCGTGGGCCAAAAATTAATTTAGAAAAAATTAATTATAGAACTTAAAATCCACTTAATCCAATATAAAAATAAATAAGAAAAGAGTTATAAATTTCACGTATTAAAATCATGACTCCAAATATCCCTATTCTGTTAATGTTTCTTATCAATATCATACAAAAATTCATTGATTTAACTATTATAAATAAGAAAAAAGTTATAACCATAATTACACAGTAGCTTCATGGACTAAGCAGCATAACAAAACTAAAACCAAGAGACTCAAACAAATGAGCGGAGCGAAAATAGATGATGATGATGTTGAATTCTTAAGTATGGATAGAAGGGTAGCTTGTTGAGGTTTCCTCTGTGTTGAAGGATTTATGGCCATCTGTTCTTTCCTTGGGACAGAGATGTCCAGCACAATAGGCTGGTATGTTACTTTTGGATCTAGTGCCCTTTCCAAGGTATCTATGAAGGAGATACCCTTGAGTCAAGCAGATCACTATGCATAGAATACTATAACGGCGTTAGCCAATGGGGTGTGTGTGTGCGCAAAGTGACAGCATAACAGTAAGAGAGAGAGCGTATCGTACCTTTAGGGTTTACCTTGTATTTATAAAGGTTACATGTGGGTAGCGTGGATGGGCCTTTGGTGCCTCTGGTAAAGGCCCAGGCCTGCTTGCTATGCTGTCGTATTAGGATTAGTATCCTTGATGGATATCTATCCATGATTATTATTGATTCAGATCTAGGATTGCCCCTTGTTGGGTCTATCAATTAATAGGCCTCTTATATGGGTCTATAATTGTTGCCCCTCAGCCAGGCTACCAGGATATCCGGGTTGCCGGGGTGAACTTATGTGTGTATTTCTTCAGTTTTGTGTTCCTGAACGTGTTTTCATTTTTGCCAACTTCCAAACTTGTGCAATGTTTCTCGTTTTTCGAGTTTTTTCTATGTGGGGTATCCCTTGCCCCTTATGTCGACGGGCTGAGCATCAACCCAGTGAGATATTTCTCGTATCCCCTTTTTTTTTCTGGATTGGGGGTACGCTTGAGTAGTTGGGATCCAACTGGGGAGTTGTCCCTCAATATCAGTGTTTTGTGCTTATTCTGAGTTCGTGGCTTATACCAAGGACGATTTTTCGTCGTTCCTTATATCGGCAGGTTGAGCATCATCTGTGTTCTTACTTTGGGTTGGGGATGTGCTTAAGTTGTGTGAATCCAACTGACGGGTTGCCCTCAAGCATCATACCTTAACTGGAGTATGACTTTATGCCTTTAGTTACTTGGTCGTCGGATTTTGCATGAACCTGACGAGATAGTTTACGCAATAACCGGGTAACATATGCGCTTTAGTAGCCGTGGTTCAACTGACGAGTTGCCCCCAAGCGTCAGGTGTATAACCTGGTTAATGGTTGCATATGTATATACCCTGTCGTATCTGTTGGTTCATGAGTTGTACTCATTTCATTCTTCCACGTGCTACAGTCCGTGTGCTTTAGCGTACCGCAGCCGTTCTATGCTGTTTTTGCGTTTCGTGCGCATTTATTGCAGCATCATTTCAGTTGTCTAATCATTGCTTTTGATGTGAATTGGCAGTAATGACCCTGCCCCTTGGCTTTCTGCGTGTTGTGGTTTCTACCCATGATGATTGCGGTTTCATCCCACGATTGTTGCAGTTATTACTTACTCGTGTAAAGACCTTAGTGACCTTGACCTTTGCCATTCTCAAACCTCAGGATCACTAGCCATGCCTATATAAGTCTCCATATCACATTACGTGCTTTTGTTTCCCTTCTGAACATTGTGCCTGTACATTTCTTAGAGTGTCAGCGTCAAACACATTTCTCCATCTCTTGCTATTTCACCTCTTTCGTCAGGTATATCGCTTATCTTCTACCTTTTATTGCCTCTGTTTTGAGGTGCCTGCATTTGGACATTTTGTTCGATAGCATGCTTTTTCAATTGTGAGTTGTTTGCCCTGCATATGTTGATTTTCTGTTATTTTCTCAATAGTTTGCACTTTCCCGAGCTTGTGCATTACTCTTCCTTCTGGTGTTTATCATCGTGTCTTTCTCGTCCCCCCCTGTGCTATCTTAGCAGTTTTTAGTTTTTTAACCAAATGAGGGAGAAAAACACTCATTCTTCAGCTTTGTGTTGTAAGGCGGAGAAGGAGGAGGATTCTGAGTTTTTCAAAAAGATTTCTCCTGGTGCCCGTTTCTGGCTCTGGGGGATTCCAAGGATCGAGGAAGAGGAACGAGAAGCCATGCTTCGTGGTTACCGTGGTGGTAGATCTCGTAGAAGGGCCAGGATGTCTAATAGGGAGTTGGGGCATCACTGGGGTAGAGGTTCATCTAACCGGGCTTGGGGTCATGTTACCAGAAACAGACGTGCGTTGCTTCCGTCTCCCCAACCCGGGGCTGAGCTATCTCGCCAGCCCATGATTCCTCTGAGTTCTCATTCCAACATCTGAGCTTGTCCTCATTCTTCCCCTATCCCAAGGAGTGTCCTGTGTTACTCTTGTGTCTACTTGAGTTCTAAGCTTGTTGAGCAAGGATGCGACTCTTTGGCCGAGTCTACTTTGGTTAGTTGCCGACATGGACATATTATGGAATCTACTTCCATGTCGGGTGGAGCAAATGATCCTATTATGATTTCTGATTTGCCGACTTCATCATCATCTAGTTATTCTTCTGATAACCTTTGTGATTCAGGTATTCTGATTCTTTTCGATCCCGCTCTTTTGTTGTTTTAGGTTTTTATGGCATCTCCTTCTCCAGAGGTAGTAGAAGAGTCGAGT